AGCAACAATCTGCAAAAAACTTTTTCCCATGTTAATTGCCTATGTTCGTTTTTGAAATATTTTTATTTTATGCCCGTGTATATAATAATTTAGAGGTACTTTTAGCAGAGCAGTGCAGCAACTGCGCTCGGAAAATCGTACCTTCCAGAGTGTCTACTGAGACCTTAGCAACATCACGCGATCGGTAGACCAATTTTTTTTGTTTCTTATGACATCAACTTTTTGAAACAAAAATTTCATCTTTGTAGAAATAAGTTCAATCGAATAATTTTTTATGCATCTCGCGTGGGTTAATTACTGTACAAACATTTATTCTTGTAGAAATAAGGCATGTACATATTATTTATTGACATGTTCAGAACATTGTTGCAAATTTAGGCAACACCACCGACGCGGTAGACCACCGTTTTGTTTACTTGTATTATCAAAACAATAAAATGGCAGAATATCAGCTTTATAGAAATGAGTGCACAAAAAATGTCGCTCGGCGTCGGTAGGTTAAGGAAAAGTCACGGATACTGTCGATAAGGTACATACTTAATGAGCAATTGTTTTGTTAATTCCAATGAGTTATGAGGTTTATTATTCAGAAAGTTTACATTTTATGTAAACGAGTGGAGCAAGGGATCTCGGGAGAATAAGGGTTATTTGTCTTTTACATATGAGGTTATACGGTTATCATTGCTAATGTCTCCGTTGGTTGCATGGATTGCGAAATCTGTGAATTTTTATTTAATTAAGTGTCATTAAAATTTGCTTCGGATTGTGATCTATACTCTAAGATGTTGTATTTGTGCGTTACGTCTCTTCTGCATGATTGTGTTGCGAACGGAAACAGGAAACTTTGATAAATACAACTCGTTTGGCTTAGCAATTTTTAATTAACTATGGAAGAAAAACGTAGGACACCGGTAGCAAGCAAACAGCATTATCTACAAATACTACCACTACTTTTACTGATAATGTCCATCCAAGTTTATCATTGACAACAGGTTTTAATTAACTTTTGCTCGGGAATGCCATAATAAGCAAAAAGAGAAGCGGAATTCATCCAGCTATCGAGGCATCTGAAGCTCTTTTCGGTATTCAGTCTGTAACTCGCACAAAATGACTTAAAAAACAATGACAAATGGATTTAATTAATTTTTACATTTTCCAAATATTAATATAACTTTATAGCACAGACAAAATACTATTTAATCTGTGTTTATAGGTACCTACGTTTCGATTAATTATCAAGCATTAAATTGGAAACGTTGATAATGTTTTGAACTTAAGACACTATTATCATTGTTTAAATACATTTAAACAATGCTATTATCCAGTCGGAAAAATGCAGCTCTGATTGTCCTAATAACAGCGGTGTTAATAATCTTGCATAAATATGCATATTGTTGCATTCTTATAAGTCATTACGTTTGGAATGTTATTGTTCAGTAATGACGACCCGTTTTGGGTTTTACCGTTTACCTGTTAAGGGGCAAGATTATGCATTGGTAACCACTTGAAATCATTCTGTGACCATACGTAATGTAGTCAACATCAATACAGTTCACTATTTGTAATAAAGCATTATATTTGAATATTTAAATTATTTATCTACCCGAGTGAAAATAAAGTCGAAACAAAAACAAGCGGATTTTTCAGTATGTATTTCTCGAGCTATTTCTTAAATGGAGAGCATACGCAAAATGACAAACTCCGTTATAGGAAAAAATACTGCCAAATTCATCACTTTTAATTAGTTGAGAATGTTTCTGGTTGAAAGAAAAACTGTATAAAAACTAATATTTCGGTTTTTAATGCTATTATATAGCCTTCATGAAATGGTAATGGAGTAGCAGAAGCGTCTTCGCGCTTACGTAAACTTTGCTAAAGAATATTAAGTAGGTAGGTCCCTACTTACACATCTAAGTAATAACAAAGTGTTCGTTATCAGTATTATATGAAAAAGACTTATACAATAAACCTTTTGTCTAAAATGTTTCGGGATTATATGAGCTCTGTACTTTAAAATTGTGGCACATTCAGAACATCAATTGTGTTTGTACAGATGAAACATGTGTTAAGCCGATGTCAAAGTAAACAAAGCTCGTTCTCAGTAGGTAATTTTGTGTGTATAGTTCGTTCCCACATTTCACTGTACTGAATTCTGAATCTATGATTTTGATTAGTAGCGGATGAGGTCAAACTGTTATGAGTCATCCATCGATTGCAGACGATTGCTTTGCACTAACATGCGTCGACTCCAGTTAAGAAAATGTCCAAATCAGCCAGAGAAAGCAACATGACTTTGATAAACTAGTCATATCACTTTCCTTTTATCTCGTTTATTGATGAAAACTGTAATTTGTTTCGGACACGTAAATTTCTAAAGTAAATGAAGCACTGAATAAATATAATTACCATAAGAGCTCAACTCCAAATAAACGTTAGTACTTAACAAACCTTTATTAAAAAAGTCTTTAGCATAAAAATTGAGCGAGTTATGATGAAAATAAAGTCGTTCCCTACTAACCCTACTAACTGGAGCTAGAACTGGAGGCACGTAAAAATGCTACAGTATCAAATTGTAGCTTTCTTAATTCCAAATATTTTTCACACCGGAAATTTCCTGTGCGACAAAAGTGAAATCTACACGTTTAAAACGTGTATTTATCTGCCAGATCTACCTTGCTTGAGCCCTTTAAGGTCACCCTGTACTAGAATAATGAATTATTTCAATTTTAATGATTATAATTTAAATCTCTCGACGTGTAGAGGAGGCTTTAGGTTAAGATTGTAAACGGATTTAATGTACAGCCTTGTAGCTCTTTTGCAGTGGCGGCTGGTCCTAAAAGGGCACAGGAGTACGTGTTCACTTAATCGCCAAGATAAACAGCGCGGGGGGAAACAAATTATCATGTCAATCTGTGAATTATTTTTATTTAACATACATTTACGGATGGTATCAAATTTTCCTTTCGTCCTTTCCGAGGCAGGTTAGAGGCGATTACAGGTACTGTAACGTACAAAACTTGGCACAGTCTATCGGTGTCCTAAATGCGAGTATGATTTGCTTCATTTGCTTGACTTCGGTTGTCTCGATATACATAATTTAACGTCGATTTGGGACACCGAGCGAGTGTGCCCCAGTAGAAGTCTAACTTTTGTGCGTAGTGCTGAATTCTTCTCTCTTGCAATCCGCGAGTATTTATGTACGTAACTTTGCATCTGAATTAGACGCAGCGCTTGCAGCACAATATAAAAGGTTCACACTTTCACAGGTGTTTAAAGGGGGTTACAAAACTATCCAAAACAAATTATTAGAAGTAATGTAAATTTATTAGCAGGAAATATTAAAAGAAATTCAATCTACATTCATTGCTTTGGAGGCCTATTGATACATACCTCTAATTATCAGCATATGGTTGTTAATTATTCGATAGGTACGTGTTTAATGGACAAATTTACGTCTGATAACAATAACTCGAGCAATAAATATAAATTATCCCTCAAAGTTAAGTATGATGGAGCGTCCGTTATGAGTGGTAAGACAAATGGTGTTCAAGCCATTACCAAAGGAACATTTCTACATGCATTTATATTTATATATTGCCTATGCATTCATTGTTACTCGTATCAATGTAATTTAATTATTAAACGATCGACGCAGTGCAATAAAAAAGGTAAACATTTTCATTGCAAATTTGCAGTAATTTTCAAGTTTTTTTCTCGAGTGCCAAAACGAACGACAATTCTTGATAAAATAGTCAAACTTAGACGAGGTAGCTGTACGTCCGTCTGTTCATGCCTTTAGCTAAGGCTATAATATGGGTTACCTACTGCACGGGGCAATAACGGCTTAAAACCTATGCCTCCACTACCTTCAAAATAATTCATTTATTCGGCTTGGTTAAGTTAGCAGTTAGCACCTCTAAATCGGTACCCTAATTTGCTACATCTCCAAAATACCGTGCTCATTTTGTGCTAATTTATGCGCGAATCCCCAAATTTTTTGCGGTTCTTGTTTACGAGAAAATCAAAATTTTCCGTTGGGGTTGCAACTTAATACTGGAACATCATCATTCTCCCATCCACATAACACTAATAGCACAGTATTGTGCTTGTTTTGTGCTGATTTGTGCGCTTAAAGTGTGTTTTGGAAGAATCCATAATTTCTAAAGGGGGTGCCAACTTAAGCGAAGCACCCCTCACAATCGGAGTGACTTGAAATCTATGTCATAGTTTTGTACATATTTTCTGTTGATTTGTGCGTCAATGCTCGAATTTTTTGTTTTGAAGCAACTTAAAATTGCTGTGGGGGGTTGCGTCGTAACATCCCTTATTCTCGGAATGCCTTAAAACATATGTAAATGTTTTGTGCTTGTGTCTTACTTAAATATCGTTGAGGATGGGTACCAGTAATTACTAGATAATTCAATAAATAATTAATGGGTTTTTGCACAGATAAAAGTATTTTATCTGTGGTTTTTGAAAACAATTGTGCATGTTTACTTGCTTTCTTTGATTTCGTTGTTCGTGTAATTTCAATTTTAAATGTTGTTCCGTCGGTTGCAGCGATTTAGGCTGTACTGGTACTGGTAGATGTTGCACCTAACGAGTGTTAAATGTTAATTAATAGCACGGTAATTAATAGTTAACTTTTTTTGTACTTGATTCGGCGACCTATTTAGATTGTTTTGGTACAAATTTGTAACTATTGTTCTTATGGCCGTGGGGTTCACGTCTCTAATGGGGACCTCGGAAACCATAGAAGATGGAAAATTAGGGTAAAGTTGCGCAATTAAAGAGTTATTATTATACTGTAAACAACATCAGAAAATGTCGATTACTGCCAGAAAAACCGAAATTTACCGATATCGTTTTTATTTTTTCCTGATGTTATTTGAACAGATACAAAAAAAATAAAAACCACTTTCTCATTGTCACTTATTGAACTCCGCTGAGAGATTTTCAATACAACGTTTCGCTTCTGAGTAATGATCATCCACTTTTTTTATGTGGGCTGTAACAGTTTATTTTCTTACCCTTAAGGCCTATTAAGTCTTCGAAATACTTTATTTCATTTTCTCTTCTTTCCCTACAATTCAAATTTAAATTTAGTAACTTTCACCTTTCTGTATTGTTGTTACCTGTAGCTGATAACAATTTCCTTTTCCCGTATACTGTTATCAACTTTCACTTTTCCTGTAGACATCTTGTATGAAGTACATGTGATTTCACCAAGTCTTTAATTACAATTATATTGAGCTTCTAAGGAAGGATTTATAGAGAATTGGTTGTCAGAGAAGATTAAGTACGTGCCGTTTGATATTTTGGTGGTTAATTCTTCTCGCGCATATATTGCGGATCTGCCGTCACATTCACCATAAGCTCGCTCGTCATCTCAAGAGCTTTTTCTTTTACGTCTACTTTATTGCGTTCGTCGTCTTCAAGTTTCCTTGGAGGTTTCATCACACTACGTTGGATTCCATCATCTACAATAATCGGAACCAGACATCCTTGCCTATCGTGATACTTACCGATACATCCCGGAACCATCTATACCTACGTCTTGCGTTCGTTGTGTTCCGGTCCACATCACCAAAGCCACATCGATTGTCAGCCGTTAGTCACACCATCCACTCCGGTCACCTTAATTGGCAAGCTACACTCTTCGGCAAAGGTCAGGCTGTAATTGTTGTGCCGTCTCCGTTACATCGTCAGGGTGGTCAAATAAAATAAAGGAAGGGAATTCATTTGTCGAGCCTCTATCCTATCTTACCTATCTCCTCTTGTTCCTTCATTCTTTTTCTTCCCTCACTTTCACTGTGTTGTTTTTTTGTGTTTAACGAAGTTTTTTTATACTTATGATAAACGAGATAAATACTTGTCATTTTGGAGGTTACGTATAATTTAAGGTTATATTTCATTTAAATTTTTGGTTGCATTCAATTACTTACGTATTAGTTACACTATTTGGTGCTTAGTCACAAATTAATTATATTGAGTTTATAAAACATTTCACAAGTCAAATATTAATCAGTAGTATACCCCCCAGAACAAAAAACTTAGAAGGGAAACGTAAACGGGAACAACTGAGTACAAATATAATTAGTTTGGAGAACATTCAATAGATGGCGCAGAGTTAGCGTGCGTGTAAAAGGTACTAAATCTAGGGACTTTAGTACGTGTCGCCATTATGACAGTTGAATTTTGAATTTTGATTGACGGCTTATTGTGCTTTAAGTATAATTACTATTCATTATTACAATGAATTATGCATATACAAATCGAAAACGTAAATGTTGTGTGACAAATTGTGAAGACGTTTCCCAAAAATGGAGCCCGAAGTTTTTATAGAATTGGTTTAGAATATAATGTGGAAGAAATTTACACAAAAGTTTTTGGTTCGTGAACGTCATTTTTCTGGTTGCGCTTTAGAACCTAGAACACGAAGAGGTTTAAAGCGTGTGGCAGTTCGCACATTATCTTTAGCAGGTAATACTAATTGAATTGTAATAAATTGCTACATATTTTGTTTTTAGAACGATCTTGAGAGCATCATAAAGTAGAGTTCCATGAAGTTGATCTTGTATCTTGTATATCCATATTAAATTAAATATTACTCCTTGATTGGATTAATTGGAGTTGTTACTTATAAAACAAGTGGTCTGTACTCTTTGAAGCCCCTGACTGCTGAGGTGCATCGGCATTAAACTGAATTTATCTGGATGCCTAACAAACAAAATTGGACTTCACTGGCTGGATTCATTTACCTTTTAGGTTTCAGCTAGTCAAATCCAATGTTATTGTTACAGATCCGGAGAAATGCAGTATAATGCGGACGTAGCTTACATTTTAATATTTAAATTTGGCGCCATTCACGCAAAAGCTGCTGAGAACATACACGAGATGGCGCGTCATTTTTACATTACATTAGAGTTTCCATTCTAAGTTTGTTGTTCTATGGTATACCCCAGGTGAGGTACCCGTGGTCAAGGTGTTATGAGTAAGTGGATCTTGTGAATGTTAAAATTTTTGTTCATTGCCTTGTTTATTTGTTGTGAGTAAGTCGAAGCTAATTTGCCCCTTTTGGTTATTGAACTGATATTTAAATATACCGTATTTTCGCCTCCATGTAATTTCTTTCTGTGTGTGTGTGTGTGTGCTTGACAGAGACTTGTTATAACTAGACCGCGCGTAACGTAGATTTTACTATAAACGCCTGTTGTCAAGATAGGATAGGCAACCAACTGTTCATCGCGGGGCAGACGTACGTTCTGCAGCTTGCTTTAGCCATGTTTATTCTAAATTTTAGTAGCAAAAAAAGATAACATATAGCTGTTAACTATTTTAATCGAATTTGTTGGTATTTTATTTAAACTAAATTGGTATATATAACTGCCTTACTCTAGTCCTAATTCGATTTATATGTGTATTTTAGTGGTGAACACGTATGGGAAAATATACTCTTAAAACTAAAGATATAAGTAGTAAGATATGATTATTTAGCGGATTTTGTTTCAATATATGCCTATCCAAAAATCCAAATGGGCTGTAACTGTTATTTATTTTTCTTAGACTGCTGATAACCATTTTGTTTACAACGCGGTGTGGTGTGGATTGAATGAAAAACTTGAACACATTTTCGGCAATTTGGCAAATTTTTAATGCATCGCTTGATACGTGCAACAATCCTCCACGATTTTTTCTAGTTAAAAGCTTTGAATGACTCTCTGATGCGAATATCGCATCTGCACATATGGAACATTTAACAGACTTAGCTATTTTTCTTGTAACAAAACCTGAAATATACTTAGTACCAGTAAGTACTTAGTTACGTCTATACCTAATAGGCAAATTGGTATTGCCGTTGTCTTGCTGGTAAAGGATGTCGAATAATAGTTCTACGTTATTTTAAGTGAATGGGAAAGTCGAAAACGCTCGGTATTGCATTATTTTGTAACACCTTCGTAGGTATCTTTCTAAAATCGGCTTCATTCCCCGCCAATGCACTATGGTGGGAGTAAATTTTTCTCTTCGAATGGCTCTGATCCATTGGCCCTTTAAACTTTTATCCGTTGAAAATCAGCATATTATTTAAAAATTTATCGACAGAGTACATGTTGATAGGCACTTAACCTAAGTTTATTGGTTTATTCTCAACAGAAATTTATCTGTTCACTAATTCGAGCTAATCACGAGAATGATTAATGAACGGAACATCTAAAATAACGACTTATTTCATTGTATTGCATATCATCTCAGCGATTTTTGCCCCGCGGTGCATTGTGTGTTGCATACTGTGTCGACAACACCTTAGATACGTTACGCGCAGTCTAGTTATAGCAAGTCTCTGGTGCTTGAGTATCGCCTTCTTCGAGATAACTATAGGTATACATCCTGCTCCCTGAAGCAAGAGCAGTATCTACAACTTTCGTTGTTATTCCCGCTTCTGGCGCCCATATAAACCAAAATTGAACCTACCCATTTCTCCCTGTATAGCAGCCGGCAACGAAACATTGTCACCGCCAGAAGAGTGAGAACTCAAGAGTTCCTGTGGTTTTTGTACGTGACAGGGCCCTAAAGTACTGTTGGTTTCAACAGGATGGTGCACCCGCGCACAACGTCTTATTGTGTTCTCCCACTTACCGCAACCGCATTCCCGCCGACAAGTGCGGCAGCAAAATCGCATTTATATGCGGCGACTGCAAAACGCACGTAGTATGTCTTTATGCATTTAATTATACATGGCGCGGTTTTTTATTTTCCAGCATGCGGTTTCCCGCATGCGGTTTTCAGCATAGTATGTCATAGCAAGCGTGCGGGAATCCGTATTAGACAAATTTCCATTTTCCAGGAAATTTATAACTGGGATTCAAACCTTCTAGAACTCGTTGGTCGCGTTGCCTATGCCGGTTGAGTTAGGGCTGGGGAATTAAAGCGTGTACTTATGGACAAATCAACGTAAGAACTAGTCAATATTTCTCCTTTAATTTTATACCAAACGAAGAGTCAGTGTATTGCAAAACACGTTTACGATATCATAATTTGTTTTACGATTCGATAGATATTCCGTGAAATGCAATTACTATCTGGCCGTACCTCAACGCTTCATTAACAAGTGTACAATGGCAGAAGTAATAAAGTTGTTCTATCCATAAATTTGTGCCAATGTTACTTACGTGTAGCAGAAAAGGAGAGATAATTCCAACAATTTCAAATGTTGTGAGTTCAGTGTTTTTGCGATAGATGGTGCCGGGAGCATAGAATCAATCGCGTATTATAAATAGGTACCAAATAATGGAAGAAATGGTTTTGATTAAAACATACACGCAACTATAAGGTACTTTATTTATGATTTGATGACACAAAACCATGACATAGGTTTCAAGTCATTTCGATTATGAGGAGTGCTGCGTTAAGTTAGCCCCCTTTGTAGAAATTTTAAATTTCTCCAAAACGAAAGGAGCGGAAAACCTAAGTATTGGGGCACAAATCAGCACAAAACGAGCACGAAACTATGATGTTTGTGTTATGTCAATACGGGCATGATGGTGAGTAGGATTAAAGTCGTTGAATAGCAAAAAGACACAAAACCTTCCCCATACTAATAACTAAGTAGGACTAAGGTGGATCTCCAACTGAACGTTTTGATTTTCTCTGAAACGTAAGGCGCAAAAAATTCGGGCATTGGAGCACAAAATAGGCACAATACTATAACATAGGTTTCAAGTTACTCCGATTGTGAGGGGTGTTGCATTAAGTTGGCACACCCTATAGAAATTTTGGATGACTCCTAAAGGAAAGGCGCACACGATCGGAGCATTAACGCACAAATCAGGACAAAACAATAAGACATCCATGGTATTGGTGTCATGTGGATACGAGAAGGATGGTGTTCCAATCTTAAATTGCACCCCCAACGGAAAATTTTGATTTTATCGTAAAAGAGAAGTACACAAAAGTTGGCATTGGTGCACAAATTAGCATAATATTTTGGAGATGTAACGAATTGGGGTTCCAATTTATGGGTGCTAACTTGGTCCACTCCCTTTATTCCTCTGTTCCATTTCCCTGTGCTTGACTATCGAATGAGTCAGTTGTTTTCCCGTCCGAGGAACTCTACTTTGATTGGGAAACTTTCCTTATTTTCAATTGAATGCTTTTGATTGGAGGTTATTTTCTAAGGCAAAGATTGTCTCTGTGCTTATGATTTCTTTCCGTGACTGCTTGGTAGGTATATGCTTGAGAACAATATTGAACGTGGGTTCATGTTTTGTTCCGAACGCAATAACCGACATAATGCTTGGGAAACATTATTTCGAAAACTCGTTTCTCTCAAAACTGTCAGTAATGCAAATTCTGACCAAATGCAAAACATAAACTAAATTTACTACTTATAACTATTTTGCTTTGATTTTAGTTGACAGATTTGCCGTAGATCCACTTCACATTAGAACATACATAGTACCTTTTTGGGTGTTATCCATGTTACTTCTATTCTTTACACTAAGATATTATGTATTATACAAGCTAAAATTTGTCCTGCGAATCAGAGTAGATATATTTGACACAGAATGTGTGTTTAATAAATATTGATAAACAGAAAGTAGATTATTGGATTAAATTTGATTGTAGAAGGGTAACGAATAACGAAGGAAGTACTGGTAATGAAGCACAAATTTTACATCGATTTGATGGACGGTAAAATATAGGTGTGAACATAAACGTATACCTACAATTAGTGTTCGATGTTTTCTTTAATGTACTTTGTTTAGGTTGTACACACTCACATGTATTGATAGCATGTGCAACAAGTTATCTGGGACGTATCAGCTCTTTCAAATAATAATTTGAATTTGAAGGGCACGATCCATCTAATGGAAACGGTGTAAGCGGTAAGTCCTACTACGATATTGATACTACAGAGTGGTTGCATGTCGTAGTAGCACTGCAGAGTCCCAACCAATTGATGGAACCACGGTGAATAGATGGAACTAATCAATGT